AGCCCATAAGTGTTTAGAGGTAATTTTTGGAAACTAAGTAATTCTAATTTATCTTAAAGCGCTCTCGCTGTGTTTAATTTAAATGCCTAACTTTAGCTATCTGGTTAAAATCTCACACTCTCGTGGTCTTGACCTAACCTAATACTCTTTTCTTACTCTCGTAACGAAAAGGTCTATTTCAATTAAAAAGTATCAGCCAAAATGTTAAGTGATTAATTATTTTTAGCCTATGGTTATATTTTACCGGTTAAGTTTGTTATAACTACATACCGCCCTAAGGTGTTTAGCTACTCATCGATGTTGAACCAGACAGAGATAGAAAATTTAATAATAACGTACTCATGGCAGAAAAATAAATAAACATTATAATTAAATTAAATTGCAATATAATGAAAAACCTGGTTAACAAATATTCGAGCAGACTCCTTCTTCCACAAACCGGAAAGCTTGGAGTTAGCGGAAATTGAAAATAAACGAATGCTGAAGGTTTAGAAACAAATAAATGTATAACAATTTCCTGATGTTGGAAATTGTTATATGGCGGGTTTGGATACAATAAAAAACGAAACAGAAAACTAAAAATAATGCAGGAATAGAAAGGGTGGTTCGTAATACAGTTCGGCAGAGCTTCCGCAGGAATTTGAATAAAAAATGCTCTGTGTCTTTTGTTCATAGAACTTGTACTATTTATAGAATCCTTAATGGGCTGGATTTTTGGACCTTTGTTGCATGGGCCTTGCTGAATTTGTGGAAGGAATGCAGGAACGTGGCAACAGAATAGGAGAAATGGTCTTCACGTAATGCCAATAGGAGAAATGGTCTTCACGTAATGCCTTGACGTAGTCTGAGTCAAAAACCTAATTTTACCCTTGTCACGGTCGTGACAAGGTCTTCACGTTCGTAACTTGTGGTTTTTAAGTGTCACGGTCGTGACCACTCTCTTACGGTCGTGATGGCTCAAATTGGGGTGTCACGGTCGTGACACCCTTGTGACGGCCGTGACTGCAACAAATTATGCAGTCTTTTGCAGGCTTCTTCATTTCTTCATCTCTTTATGGTTTCTTTTGTTCCTTTTGCTCTTAATTCATGATTTAGCTCCATATAATGATGTACCTGCAAAATGGTAAGAAAAACTCGAGAAATCGAGTGTTAAAACGGTGAATATGCGATAAAACGTTAATGAAACCTAGCAATATAATCGATGCGTTTTCTCGTTATCAAATGTCATTTGATGATAGTGGTTTCTTCAAAATTTTTACTTTCAGTCACAATGTCAAAGCCCTTGTCAGGAACATCTGTTTGGACATCTGTCGATTGAAGGATAATATCATCTTCATCCTTAACAACTTCTTTCTCTTTAGGGTTATCATCAACAATAACATTAAGGGATTCCATCATAGTCTTTGTATGAGATTTTAAGACCATGTAAGCCCTTCTATTGATAGAGTATTCAAGGAATATCCATTCTTCACCCTTCATATCCATTTTTCTTCTTTGTTCATGATCTGCTAAGATATAGCCCTTACTACCAAAGACATGGAAATACTTAAAGTTTAGTTTTCTGCCTTTCCAAAGTTCATACAATGTAGCTTTAGTTCCAGATCTGATGGTCACTCTATTGTAAATGTAGCATGTAGTGTTCATGGCTTCAGCGCATAAATGATAAGGAAAATTCTTAGCATCCAATATGACTCTAACAACTTCTTGCAATGTTCTATTGTTGCGCTCCACCACTCTATTTTGCTAAGGTGTGGTAGGTATTAAGAATTCATGATTAATTCCTTTAGTATATAAAAAATCATAGAACTTGGAGTTCTCAAACTCCTTGCCATGGTCACTTCTTATCTTGACAATTTCAATCCCCTTCCCTTCTAGATACGAAGGCATAGATCTTTGAACACATCAAAAGTATCATATTTTCTCTAATGAAGTTAACCCATGTATATCTTGAAAAATCATCCACGTAGGCAAACACATAAGTATTTCCACCAAGACTTTCCACTTGCACATGTCTCATGAGATCCATATGAAGTAACTCGAGAACATCTGAGTTGACCATATGTTGGAGCTTCTTGTAGGACATCTTGGTCTGCTTTCCTATTTGGCAGTCTGCACATATTTTTCCTTCTTTGATCTTAAATTTTGGCAATCCACTGATGGCTTGAGCATATATGGCTTTCTTCACCCAAGAGAGATTAAGATGTTCAAGTCTTTGGTGCCACAATTTTGTCTCATAAACTGTGGATAACATGTACGATGAAGGCTGAGAAATCCATATATAACAGTTGTCTTTGGACCTTAACCCCTTCATGAGAACTTTTAGATCTTTACTGGTGACAACACATTTAGATTTGCTGAAAAGTTTACATTCAACCCTTGATCACACATCTGACTATTGCTGATCAAGTTGGCAGTTAACCCTTCTACTAGCAATACATTGGTAAGACAAGAAAGACCGTGGCTAATCATTCTGCCTATTCTTCTCATTCTTCCCTTAGCTCCATCACCAAAAGTGACATAACTTTTGGATTAAAGTTTCAACTCCTCAAGATATATCTTTCTCCAGTCACGTGCTTGGAACATCCACTATCAAAAATACCAATCTTCTCTTGAGGAAACTTTGAGAGAATTATGATCTATTAGACATGTGACTTTTTCTTTCATAATTTGTTAGCATGAGAATTCTTCTCTTTCTTTCATTTAGGCCTTGATGACTATAAAATTGAGGATAACCATACAATTTTTAGCAAAAAAAAGTCTTATATGACCATATCTTCCACAATGATGACATATGTTTGTAGCTCTTTCTTGTAGCCTTAATCTTGAAGGTACGCATGTTGAGCATGATGCTGTGACATGTGATGCATCTTATTTTTAGGTAGGACAACCTTTTTATAGGGCATTTTCTTGTTCACGTTGGAGTCAAAACCAATTTCTTCATATTCCTGGAAAATTTCCTAGCTTCCAAAACTTCATCTAGCATATTTGAACCATTGTTCAACATGCGTACATATCTTTTCATATTATCAATTTTGGAATTTAGAAAAGATATTTCTTCTTCCAAATCAGTGATAGTTGAGACAAGCTCCTTTTTTTTTCATTTTGAAACATACTTATGATTTCTTACCGATTCTTCACAGTTAGGCAGACTTCCTCCCATTTAGTGTAAAATAGCATGTATGTATCACCTAGCTCTTCATCAATCGTGTCTGCATCACTAGACACACTCTTAGATTCAAATTTTCCATTGAATGCCTTAAAAGAATTAGCAGTTTCACTTTCAGAATCATAATTAATTCGAGTAGAAGATAATCCCTTTTTCCGCTTCTTAATAAAAGTAAGACATTTATCTTTTATATGACTAAAACCTTCACATTTGAAACACCTAACTCCATTTCCTTTGTCTTCTTCTAAGATATTTCTTTGGGGGCCAATGTCGGACCTGATGTCTTAAGCATTTTTCCTCCATTTTTTTGAACTTTCTTCCAACACAAGCTACAACATCTGACATGTTCTCTTCAGTATCATTATCACCTTAATTTTGATCTTCTTGAGAGTTAGAAATAAAAGCCACACTTTTATTCTTCTTTTCAGATATACCATTTATAAAAACTTCAAAGGTTTGAAGAGAATCAACGAGTTCATCTACCTTCCAGGTGTCATCTTTGGACCAATAAGCTTCAGACTTTAAGCTATATTGGAGGGATTAATTTGAAAACAGGGTTTCTTGAGGCTGCTTCCTCTTTCCTCCACTTCAGCATAACTTTTGTTCCTTTCAAATTTCCCAGTGTTCTCGTAGGGGGCAGTCCTAGAAAAAAGAAGGTGTGGGTTCATGTGATCCAGAATTTGAGGATGAGGTTGGCCGCGTGGAAAGGTAGGCATTTGTCTTTCAGAGGTAAAGTGGTTCTAATCAATGTCGTTTTAAATGCTATTCCTGTTTTCTCTCTATCCTTCTATAAAGCACCGGTTTCTGTTCTTAAGGAGATTGTCAAGTTGCAAAGCGATTTTCTATGGGGAGGAGGAGGTTCAACCAAAAAAATTCATTGAGTCAGCTGGAATTTCTGAGAAAGGAGGTTTGGGAATAAAGAACGTGGCGAAGAGAGAATGGTATTTTTACTAAAATATCCTTATCATGTATTGGAAATGATAAAAATAATATTAATTAGAGGATAAAATTAAAAACAATATTAAAAATTAAAATGAATAATTCTTTTTAAAATATTCTTTTATGTTAAATGAGTCATTCATTATAAAATCGAAAAAAAAATACAAATTTATCTACTATCATTTATACTTTTCAATCTCTAATAACTTTATACTTTTCAATCTCTAATAACACATCGATCGACACATCATTTTCAAAGAATAAAACCATAAAATATTTCGCACTTAAAACATATTTCGTAGACGCAGTTAGACATGATTAACGTAATTGAGGTGACTCGAAACCCCCTCGAAACTAAGGTGATAGCTATAAGAATAAACCACAATAAAAAACATTGCTAGCCATGTCAGCCTTGTGAACCAGTTTCCTATTTATGATTAGAACAACATTCTCAATCAATTGACTATCTATTATTTATGATTGAACCATCAGGTTGAATAAATTCCGAATTGAGTTGATTAAGCTTATCTAGAATTCAAACAAACAATCATGTGATTCTTAAAGACACAAAAGTTCAACTTAATTTTTATTAATATACATGCATAAAGTTGAAGAATGAAGACAACCGAAAATGCTTTATTAGTGACAAGAAAAACATTATTCAAGTACTCTTTATTCTTACAGGAATATCGTTTATTTTCCTCCATTTGCATGCATGATAAGGATTCTTCCAACACTAATGACATACTTGGCCTATTCTTTGGTGTTTTCTATTACCTTCTTCTCTCAATAAAAACCACACCCTCTTTTCACTTTATGTGATGTCATTTTCCTCAACTTAAAATACAACAAAATTTAAAATTTTGCTTGCAATATGACAAAGATGGAGGCACCTCTAAGTAGTTGTTTTTTCTTGTAGCCACATTGCAAAAGCACCAAGTGTTCTTTCATCTGCCCTGTAATGCTTTTGTGTAAATTCAAGCAAACTTGGCCATGTAAAGTTTGGATATTTCCTTGGATTCTCTTTGTCAATAAGCTCTTTTGGAGGAGTGACTATTTTGTCTTCATTTGGACATAGAAAAAATGCAAGTGATTTTCTCACTATTTCATCATTTACAACCGCTCTATGCAAGCAACTCTTGAATATCCCATTTGATAGAGCCTGAAAATAAATCACAAAACTGTTAGCATTTAACTTTATTCCATTAACTATTAAATTTTGGTAAATGTTCACTTATAATATCCCTTAATATTATTTTAATATAATTAAGTTCCACTAAATATATCATTTTTTTTTGTTTTATTTCTTGTAAAAATATTTTTTTGTCTTTATAACTATATTATTTTTTGGTTTTTATATTTATTTTTTATTTTAGTTAGTCTTTACGAAATTTAATGATATTAAAAATTATACTTTTAATGTTGTTCTTATTTTAAAATATTAAAATTAAATATTTTACATATATAATAGACCAATTTTAATATGAATAAATTTTATAAAAATTAAAATAAAATAAAAAATAAAAAACAAAAAATTCACATTTGCAAAGACTAAAAATAAAATAAAAATATTTTACAAAAATTAAAATTAAAAATCTTGATATTCCAAAACACCATTTATATATTTAAACCATAATTAAATAAACATTTAATTGTGAGCAAAATATGTGCAACATAAGAACCTTAAAATATGAGAACCATACCATAAATGTGTCACCAATGTTGACCACAAAAGCATCTTCTTTAGGAACAACTGAGTGCCATATTCCATCCACAAGCACTTGAAGACCTTCAACTTGATCTTGGTGGAGAATGGTTAGTGAAGTAGGGTCACAATGAGGTCCAGTTCCTAATGCTAAATCTGGATTTTTGCATGGTGGATAGTAATTCAATCTCATTACTGACTCATTTCCTTCAAAAAATTCTCTAAAATATTCTTTGCCAACTCCTAAGCTCATACCAAGAAGCTCCATTATCCCAAGTGAGAGATTGCTCATAGCTTCACAATACTTTTGGTACACAATCCTATCAAATTATGGAAAAAAATGTTTGAACAATCGATATATCTGACCTATATATATATATATGATCAGGTTTTAAAAAACTGGTGCGACAAAACGGTATCTGATCATAATAGTTATATTCTGAAACAAACTAAAAAATTAGAGTATGAATGAAAAAACCATTGTGTCTTACCCAAATTGTCTGAAATCTTCTCCCATGATATTGACAAAATAGTCCTCAACAGTTCTGCGCGATTCATCCGCAGAGTAACGAAAAGAGAGTGTTTCCTTCCATGGAAGCTTAGAAGAAAATCTTCCAATGAAACTATTAGCATAACCACAATGTTCACCAATCTTTCTTTGAGCTCTTTGTTTCTCAGATAGCTGCATGCAAAAGAATTCATCAACAAGCTTATGAGCTTGAGCTATAAGCTCATTATCAACACCATGGTTAACAACAAGAAAAAAACCATGTTTTTTGCATGCATGGTTCACTTTTGAACAAGCATTTGAAATGGATTCTGGATCATTAGATAGAAAAGCTTTTAAGTCAATAGGTGGAACTTCAAGTTTTGGTGGAGCTAAACATGGTTTCTCATGATCTGGCCATATGAACTCTGAGGGTATGTTGGTAATTTGCAATGGTAGAGAAGATGTATTATCATCACATTGTTTTTGCTCATTCATGAAACTTTCATTTGCATTTGGGGGTGCAAATAGCATTGAAGGGCTAAGCACTTGCATGTTTGAGTATAGTTGATGAGTATTTTGTGAAGTGCAATTTATGTAAAAATTTGAAGTAGAAACTAGAGAGAGAGAGAGTTTACAAGTGGAGAAAGAATAAACTAAGGTGTGTGATGTGAGGGAGTGATTGAATGAGAAATAAGACAAAGGAAGAGGTTAATTAATAAAGGTGGTGAAAATGGAATGTCTAGAAAGGCCAAGAGAGTTCATTGGGGAAGTCGAGGAACAGAATATGAGAATCTTATAATAACATATAGTTTGATTTTATTTATTTATTTTGTGATAAAACTATTCCAATGTTTATAGAATATATATAGTGTCGATTATATATTGGTAGATTATGTGTCAATGTTCAAATCATACAAGTGGTGTGTGCATAAACATGCTCCATTAATTAAGAAAAGTTACTTCACTTTTGAAAAAATAGTACAATCAAGTAGAAATTATTATTATCATGCAACTATGCAAGTGATGAGATTATGTATTATAAGTTGAGTGAAGTGTAATAATATTCTTCTTGCTTGATATATGTTTGGATGCATAAAGTGTAAGGGATAAAACAAATGATCTAGCATACGACACGCATATTTTTTTTAATTAAATTTAGTGGTAAAATAAGAGTGAGGAACAAAGTAAATAGAATGTTAATGAAATTTAATATTATCTTTAGGGATTGGAATCTCTAGAAAAGGAAAATCGAACATAAGAATGACCCAAATTTATGTAGGAATGTGAAAAAAGAATGGTCAATGTTGGTGATGGGTAATGAAGATAGTGTACAATAATGTGGAGATCTCTACATTGTAATATTGGATTAACACAAGAGATATACCAATATATTGGATTAATGATATTCAAGAACATGTTACATTATAACCATCAATTATGGACAAATATTGTATAGATTATACAGGTTAATTACTTTTTCTTCGAGCTCATTCATTTATGCATGTCACGATTGTCTGATATGGTTAAGTGTCTTGAGTTGAATATAACTAAAACAAATAACAATTAGATTTACTCAGGTAGAATTTAATTTTATTGGTCTCTTCATACTATACTTGCGAAATATCGAGAACATGATTCCCATATCATTGTCGTTTTGAATTTGCATGCTGGTGAATTAAACATGTTCATCATTGTCAATTAACGGATGAAGATACTTACCAATGTATAACCTACTTTGTGAGTATAACTTTCCGTTAGATGTAATTTGTATGATAACAAAACTAGGATACTTCAGCGTTTATTTATATTGGACGATATCATATGATTCTTAATATGCATCTTAAGTTTAGGAAGCATAAAAATAATTTATAAAAGGTTTAGAAAATGTTTCGTGCATTAAAATTAGGTTTTTGTGTGAAAAAACAGGTTTATGTGCCGGCACATGTGGATCATTTTTAAAAGCATGCAGGTCTATGTGTCGACACATGACATGTATGTGACATCACATGTGGATCATTTTTAAAGGATGTAGCTTCTGTTTGATGTGTCGACTGTGGAAGGGCTTCAGATCGACACATAGAAGAAAATTTTCTTCTATATGTCGACACATGACTTATATGGGTTAACACATGCTTCGAATGTGTCAACACATGACTTAAATAGGTAGACACATACGATGCATTATTCCAAAAATTCATTATTTTTTCAAGTCTTTTGCATTCCTTTTGCCCTCCAACTTGCATACATATAAATACTTCATACATGCATCATTTCGTTGAATGGTTGTTGAAAAACCAGATAGAAAACCAGGAATATACAAAGAATTCTCTTCATCTTCAACCTTTGTTCTATGCGAACATATAAGTTACACAGAATCATTCTTTGTTTGGGTGCCATCTAGAATCAAAGTTGATAACGTCCAATTTAGGTTGAATTGTAAATTGTGTTGAGAATCTATGAGGGTTTCAAATAAGAAAACCAAGTCAGGGTTTTCCTTCAAGATCAATTGGTGATTTGAAAGTTTTAGACAAGATTAAGCAAGGTGGATTCGGTCGAGTAAAAGCTTTGAAGAACATGGGTTTCTTGCAAAGGAATAAAATGAGACGGTGGATCATCTTGGTAAATCTTGGGTGACAACAATTCATAATATGGATCTGATTGAGTGAAAGCTTTGAAGAATGAGGTTTCTTACAAAGGAGTGGTGTGAGATGGTGGATCAAATTGGTATTATTTAGTAACAACAGTTTGCAATTTGAATTTAATCGAGTGAAAACTTTAAAGAATGAGGTTAATTGTAAAGGAGTAGCGTGAGACCATGGATCAAATTGGTATTGTTTGGTGACTTGATCGAGTTCATATCAAAGGAAGAGAAAGTGTTAGAATGAACATCAAACATAGGGTTTATGGGGTTTTATTACTATATTTCTATTGTAAAACTACTTTTGCAAAGTAAGATTAATTATCTTAATTCGGGTTTGAATTAAGGGCAAACGTACCCATAGCGAGGCCAATTGGGGAACTACCTAAACAAATTCTTGTGTACTCTCTCTCTCTCTCTCTCTCTCTCTCTCTCTCTCTCTCTCTCTCTCTCTCTCCCTATCTCTGTGTATGTGTGTGTGTGTGTGTGTCTTTTACTTTTCATTTTCAAATTGTTGAATTCATCGATTGTGCGATCAATATGTTTGGTTAAATTTTTTGATAACCTTTCTAAAAAGGTTTTGTTGAGTTGATCACAATCTATTAGATTGTTGTTGGATTTGAAAACCAACAAAACCATACAAAATTCTAAACGAAAGTGGTTGATCACAATCTTTTTAAAAAGATTTTGTTGAGTTGATCACAATCTATAGAATTCAGACTATGTCAAAAACTCCTCAATGTGGTTTCAAATTATAGAATTCAAATTTTTTAGTTGTAGTATCACGGTTCATATATTTGATAATAACACTTTTAAATTACACCAACTTAAATATTAACCTAACCTATTTTTTAAAAATTGAACCCAAAATATTTAAAATTATATATAATGTAACTTGTTAGGCTAAATACGTGATTACATTATACATATAATACAACCAAAGCCAAACAAACCAATCCTAAAAAAAGCATTCCATTAAGTCGCATGGATGCTACTGGCCCTCATATACATCCTCATTGCAACCATGGCTTCCCTCAAACAAATTTGTCGACATCTTAGCTCTCTTGCACAGTCCCACGAGTGTGTTACCTAGTGGTCATGCCTTCATATACATTCGCATTGCAACCATATGGCTTCCCTCAAAATCCCCTGAACAAATTTGTCGACATCTTAGCCTTGTTGTACAACCCCGAGTGTGTTACCTATTGGTCATGCCTAAGATTTGCGCCCAAGTAGGGACCTGACTATCTACATTTTTGCTATACTCTACAAAGGCTTCATCCTCACCTGGGACATGTAGTTGGCCTACTAGTTTAGGACTTAAGTAGGAATTTGACATCCTACAATACCACCTCATGTATCCATGTACAACTTTACAACCATGGAGGATATAGGTGCCTAGGTCATCAGTGGAAAATAGGGTTAAAGTATTATACATACATAAACCATAATAAATATTGTAGCAGAAGACGCACATGTTACAAATTATCTCAAACTAGTATGTTTTAGCAATGTGGGTCATGTAAGAGGCTTTAAATGAAAGGAAAAAAGTGATCATGTGCCCAACATATAGAGGAGATAGACAAGTCACAGGATTTCCTTGGAAAGAAGCCACCAACAAAGATCCTTGATGGAGAGGGGCCAAAATGACTGAACTCAAGGAAAAATATTGAGGGCATTGTGTGTTTCACTAGTTCTAAGAGGCTATATATACCTTACTCTCTAGATTTAAGTCAGACAACCACGTACACAAAATAGTAACTAAAGACCCTTGTTTGGCATATCAGCGATAAGGTTACTACTATTGTGCTAACAACAAGTACAATATCTCTAGTCAATCTAGAATAAACTGATAATAGGCGAAGTTGAGATGGAATAATGAATGAGAATATCATGCACATACTCAAACTTGCGTAGTACTCGCTCAGGGGTGATCTAGTTCTCGAAAACTACCTTTTTATGTTATTAAGAGATCTAGCCAATATATATATATATATATATATATATATATATATATATATATATATATATATATATATATATATATATATATATATATATATATATATATATATATATATATATATATATATATATATATATATATATATATATATATATATATATATATATATATATATATATATATATATATATATATATATATATATATATATATCATGCACATACTCAAACTTGCGTAGTACTCGCTCAGGGATGATCTAGTTCTCGAAAACTACCTTTTTATGTTATTAAGAGATCTGGTACCGCTTATGTAAACATCATTTGTGACTTCAGTAGGACCGTTGATAGCTTTTCCACCAACTCGGAGACCAAGTAACATATTCGCATCTTCTAACATTATCGTGCATTCACCTGTTGGGAAGTAAAAAGTGTGTGTTTTTGGTCTCCGTTTCTCTAACAGAGCTACAACTAAGCTTGAGTCGATTTTGAGACTATTTATTTGTGTGATATGAGAAAAACCTACCATTTCTAGATACGGGATTATTCTCGCACTTGCTTGAATGGGAGCATAAGAATGCACTATAAACCTTCCATTAGTCTGAAACAATATTGAACCAAGCAATTGTAATCATTATTTTTGATATGGAATAATATTGAACCAAGCAATTATAATCACTATTTTTGAATGCACTCGAATAGAGGAAAAATTACACTAGCTTGAATGTTTTGTTGTGTCCCACGGTGTTCATCGCCCATCCACAACAATGCCATTTTGATTGAGTATCAAGATTTTTCAAGAAATGCTTGAGAGTTTGTTGATGTTATAATGCTTTGTGTTAGAAGTAAAAATGTGTGTAGAAACTTGCTTGAGGTAAACCCGAATTTATAGATGAAAAATTTATATTTGGTAGTGTAAATGTGACTAGTAGAAGTGACAATACTATGAGTT